TCAGTGTCCTCCGTATCAGTGTCCTCCATATCATTGAGTGTCCTCCATATTGTATCAGCAAATCATATCAGCAACTCATCGTATCAGTGTCCTCCATATCAGCGTCCTCCATATCAGCGTCCTCCGTATCAGCATCCTCCATATCAGCAGCTCCGTATCAGTGGCTCCTCCAACGTATGTGCTGGGTGCTGGTGATTACACTTGAAAAGCAAGCAAACAAGAGGATTATGTAAATAATCGGCCAGCTACTAGCAGCGGTCTTCAGCAATAAGCACTGAGACTGAGTCCAACAAGGTCTCAAGCTGCGCTCTTGACCTTGTTAGACTCAGTCTCAGTGCTGATTGCTGAAGTAATCCAACTTCATCCTCGGTCTCAAGCAAAGCTCTCATCCTGGGCCTTAGTTGGAGTACTTGTGTAATCTGTATGTAATCTGATTTTGTATTCTCAAAAAATTCCCTTGGGGAGTTTAGTAAATTCTTATGTGTGGTCTTGCGCTAACATATTCCGTGAGTAGCTTGCCGATTATATAACATACGCACGGTTGAATACTAAATGAGTACTAAAATTGCACACTAACAAACACTATGGTAGATAATTTTTTTCTTAAATACAGCACCTCCTTGAGTACAAGAAACTTGTAGTACATGAATACTGTATTCAAAAATTGTATTCAAATCAGCAGCCGGGCCTTACCAAATTTTGTCCACGTCACTGCTAGTTGTTTGGCTGAACCTGAATACAACTCCAAACCAAAAAATTGTACTCATACAGTACAATAACAAATTTTTGTTTTCAACGTGGTAATTACAAGCGCAAAGTGATCTACTCGCCGATTACGTAAATAGTAATCAGTGCAGTGAGCATCCTCACTGCCATAACCATCAGTAATCAAACCAAGGACCGGACTCAGTTCCGGTCTAAAGCAAGCTCTTGACCTCAACCTCATCCTGGTCCTCAGTTTGATTACTGACAGTAATCTCAACTTGGTCTGGGCGTTGTCGGTTTTGGTCTCAAGCAAGCTCTTGACCTCAACCAACTCGTCCTTGACCTCATTTAGATTACTTGTGTAATCTGTATGTATTGAGATCAGCACGAGACTGCACATAATTTTTTTTCTCCCTAAAGGAGGGTTTTTCTTACTAGTACAAATCTGAATACATGATATGGATTACACATACGGCATGAGCTGCTCACCCATTATATAACATAACCTTTGAGTGGCATCGAAGTTACTAGTAACCTTGCGCCCTTGGTTACTACTGGTGGGACATTAGTACAAAATGACGCGCTACCAGATACTTCAAGCTACTGGACCTATGTAAGACTATGGGGGTACATAGTACTTGTGTACATACATCCGATGCCCAGTACTATCATGTTCATCAGAATAATAGCCCTTTCTACTAATAGGGGATTAAAAGGTAGAAATAAAGTAGCTTTTTGGTAGCTTTAAAGCTACTTTTAAGCTACTTTTGCAACTTTGATGTTACTTAAAAGTAGCTGAATTCAGCAGGTATAGTATAATTTCTAAGTGGTAGTGGCAACCAGAAAGTTACTTTAAAGCTACTTTGAAGTAACTTTTAGGTAACTTTAAAGTAGCTTAAGAGTAGCTTTAAATTAGCTTTTAAGTTGATGTCCGGGAGGCAATAGTGCATTTGCTTTCATTGGTTGTAGTAGTTATGGGCACATGCTATTTTGTACTGGTATTAAGTAGGAGATGAGCATATTTACTTAGTTGGAGTAGTCTTGGGTACAGTAGCCTACGGTAACGGTTAATGCATTGTTTCGTAACGTCCCTGTAAACAGGTACAAAGTACCGAAGTACATGATTTGTTGAGAAGCTCAGGCATACTACAAACACTACTTATTTTTTGCTTAAGTACATGCACCCCAACCTGGTTACAAACCACGCAGACTGAATTTTGTCATCATGACTTGAAACCTATCCCTTTCATCATAGAGAGGCCCTTCTTTTGGACTGTGCAGTACAAAACTTTTCCCATGATAATAACATGGACCGCAACAGAGGAGTACATTTTCTGGTCATATTTATGGCACACCAGTAACATCACTGAGGCCAAGAGCTTTGCTTGAGACCAAAGTGAGGTTACTGCAAGTATCTTCAACGCTAACAAGCTCTTGAGCTTTAAGCTCAAGAGCTTGTTAGTGTTGAAGATACTTGTAGTGCAGGACAGATGTGATGCCACAATTATTTACGTAATTGATTGAGTAGCATCAAAATTACATGTAGTATCCATGCAGCGCAAGGTTGTTACTGCTGCTTTATGGAGGATGCTCAATGATAAGGACAAGGGGCCACTGATACTATGGATAACAATCAATGATATGGAGGAGTGGCTAATACGTAGGATCCTGATACAGAGGATGCTCGCTGATATGGAGAACACTGATATGGAGGACACCACTGCTGATACTATGATGTCTGCTAATATGGTGTCTGTTAATATGATACAGAGGAGCCGCTGATACAATACAAGTTGCTGCTGGTGGTGTTGCTTGCTTTTTCGTGCTTTGCTTGTTTTTTTGGCTTGTTTCCCCCTGTAATTCAATGTTTCTACAGTGTCGTCTACACAACTTTGTACTGGAATAGCAATCAAGATCAGTTTTTTTGTCAGCTGTAGAAAACTCCTCATATTTTGGTGTATATACAAAATATTGTGTACTACTACTGATACTATGTATTTAGTACTTAATTTGTGGTGAGCACTAAAGACAGTTTTTAAGTTTGTACTCCTACCTGTTGAGGTTCATGCGCCTGCTTGTTACAAGCACACATCAGCACACTGTCTGCTATTTTGTAACCAGACCCACTTTTTTTGTTACCACACAACTAGTAGTAGTATTGTGGAGAAAAGAAGGGACTCTCTATAGGGAAGGGATGGGTTTCAAGTCCTGGTTACAAAAACTCATTTCATGTGCTTGTAACCACCAGCTTGAGGTGCGTGTACTTAACAAGCAAAGAATAACTAGTATTTGTAAGTGTTAGTTTTTTGTACCAGCGCACTAACTATACACACATGGTTTTTTGCACTTTTGATACTACTCAATGGTTGCACAATATTGTAGGAGGAGTACTACAAAAATGTGAGCAGTTTTCAGTTGAAAAACTGATCTTGATTGCTATTCTAGTACAAACTTGTATAGGAAACATGGTAGAAATATTGATTTGCAAGGAGAAACAAACAAAAACAAGCAAATCAAGCAAAACACAAAGAAGCAACACTAGCAGCAGCACTCTGTATCATAGCAGCAACTTGTATCATATCACCAGCTGTGGTGACTCCTTGCCCGTCATATCATATTAGCAGAAGCTGTATAAATGTCCTCCTCTGCATCAGCGTCCTCCTCTATATCTGTGTCCTCCGAATTGGTGTCCTCCATATCACTGAGCGTCCTCTATGGTATCAGCATTGTCTGTAGTATTTAGTATCCTCTGTAGTTTCATCAAGCATCCTCTTTATCAGACCACCAATGCACTCATACACAGCAGTAACCTTGCGCTGAATGGATACATGTAATTCTGTTGCTACTCAATTGGTTACCGTAAATAACTGTGACATCGCATCAGTCCAACGCTAGAACAAGTATCTTCAACAAGGTTTCAAGCTAAAGCTCTCAAGCTTATTGAAGATACTTCCAGTAAGCTCACTTTGATCTCAAGCAAGCTCTCAATCTCAGTGATGTTACTGGTGTACCATAAATGTAACCAGAATTTTGTACCTGTTGAGGTCCGTGAAGAGTTTTGTACTGTGGGTGCACTGTTAAGTACAAAACAAAAATTATTTGGAATTAACGACTACAAACTCATGTAGAAAATACAGTGCAGTAGAAATTACAATTCAGCAACTCCTCCATATCAGCAACTCATATCGTATCAGAGCTGGCTCCTCCATATTGTTTCAGCAACTTCTTGTTTTGTATCAGTTGTGGTGGCTCCTCCTCTGGAACATATCAGCAGACACCGTATCCATGTCCTCCAAGTCAGGGGATGCCGTATCAGTGACTTCTACCAGTGTCCTCCATATCAGCGGATGCTGTATCAGCAACTTCTTGTATCAGAGTCCTCTATATCAGTGTTCTCCATATCAGTGACTCCTCTTAATACCAGCAAGGGCCCTTGTGCCCTAGTAGTCCATATCAGCATTCTCAATTACGCTGGTGTGCAGCATGCTGCATGTTATACATGTAATTACAGTGCCGCTCAATTGATTACATAAATAACTGTGACATTGCATCAGTCCCAAGCTACAAGTATCTTCAACAACAAGCTCTCAAGCTTCTTGGTGTTGAAGATACTTGTAGTAACCTCACTTTGATCTGGAGCAAGCTCTCAATCTCAGTGATGTTACTACTGGTGTCCCAAAAATGTAACCAGAACATGTACTCTGTTGAGGTCCATGTTATTCTCATGGAAAAAGTTTTGTATTGCCGGTAGAGAGCTTAGTATTCAACCAAGACCTTTCTTTAGAATCCAAGACCTATCCTTTGAAGAACAACACCTGGAGTATATGCTACTACATGCTCAGTTTTAAAGATTCCCTAGCATCTCCATGCAGTTCCAGTATTATTTACCAACCAGAAGGAAATTCCAGTCAGAATGTTGTTGTTTCCAACATTTTTGTTGGAATGCAACAACACCACCAACAACAACCCCAGTATTCAACCAAGACCCATCCTCAGGAGAACAAGGCCTGGAGTATATGCTACATCATACTCAGTTTTAAAGAAGATTCCTCAGCATCTCCATACAGATCTAGTATCATTCAAGGATCAGAAGAAGATTCTGGTCATGATGTTGTTGTGTCTGACATTTGTGTTGGATAGCAACAATAACACCTCCACAAACTCCTATTCCTCAGAGGGAGGTACTGCCCTCCAGAGCAGCTAGGAGCATTCTTTTCCCTAGTAGTCAGGAGAAGTTATGGTTCTGGCCATATAGTGCCTCTTCTAGTTCACAAGGTAAAATATAATATTAATTTTTTTCTTACTACAACAACTCTTGGGTCTGTGATACATACATTAATAATGTCCTTGCCTTTGTGTCAGATAGGGGACTTTGTATGACCAAACATAACTGCCCTAGTACTTGTTGGCATGACAGCACCATGGCAGATTACAGCATAAAACAATATGGAGGCCATGTATAACGAGAATAGGGGGACAGTTGTTGTCAATTTTGCATTTAAGGTCAAAAGAGCCAATTATCTCCTCATTCAAAGCAAGTAGAATGACCTGGATACCTTTGATACTATACCTGAAAACACCCAGGCTGTAGTAATTAACAGGCAGGCAATGGCTGTCCAGCAGTTGTCTGAATGGGCATGAGAATGATCCAGGGGCAATTCCCAAGAATGAATGAGAGTCTTACGCCTGAAGAGCTTGGGGATAGGAAGATTATTCATAACCTCTTCTTGTTGTTGTTGTTGTTGTAAATTATGAATGCAGCAAGGTGGACATTAATCAGATCCCCAACACCTTCATGAGCAATACCAGTGGCTTTGAATCTTTTCAAGCGATGAGGCAATCATACACAAATCAAGAGACAGGATACTTCCTATCATATGGGAGGACCCCTGCTGCAGACACTAAAGGGGAATTCCAGTTCTCGGATTGAGCAAGAATTGCATTGTTTTAATTGTTGATTGGATTGTCAATTGAATTGATTGCAATTGCAAATGCAGATTGCAAGTGAACACCACCAAGAGCAGATTGTTTTGAGAGGACAACAATTCCCATGGTCAAGATGATTTCTGTTGAGTTGGTGGGTTTAGTTCTTTAATGTCAAATTAATAGTTACACCAGTTAGAATATACTCCAGTTAGTATCATGAAGGATGAGCCAAATCTTCAGGGAGGAAAGGAACCCACGCAACACACCATGTTATAATGGAGGAATCCACATGATACACTGTGTTATTTTGTCTTGCTGGTTTTCTTCCATAACTTCCCAGAAAAACTTTGACTGCTAATAGAGATATTCCCATGAAAAACCAGAATTGCTAACAGAGAGGGATCATGTTGCAAATGTTTGAATGAATATTCATTGATGTATAACTTGGGATACCAATCCCACCAGGATTGCTCGCATGCTCCCTCTTTTAAGAGGGAGCCAACAGATTGATTCCAAACAACACATAATATTGTGTGGACACATTTTCAAATATTCTGTAGTATTGCACAGTACTCATAAAAAGCAAATGGTAAAACAAACAGTAGGGGAGAGCAAACAACAATAAGCAAACAGTAGTTTAGCTTAGTAATTGTAATTAGCAAATAATCATAGTATTCCAGTTTTCTTCACGCACATCTTTGCCCAAGATAAGCAGCATAATACTATTAATAGTACCTAGAACTACAAGGAACAGCTAAATGACGTCGAGATGCTTTAGATTGCAGATTATTTTGAGCGCCGTTTAGCCCACATTTCTGCTAGAGCTTTTTTTTTCTTTTCTTGTTCTAAGCGTGCAGCTTCCTCGGCTGGATCGTCTTCCATTGGCATGTCTTCGAATTGAATACCATGCACTCGTGCGAGTGCTTGTCCTATCTCGAAACTTCGAGGCCGTTCCAAAAATCCAACGGATTCAAGAACCTGAACCATTGATTTCGAAATCAGAGAAAGGTCACGTTCTTTCAATTCTTGGACGACTTGATTTATTCCTTCCTTTTCAAGTTTTGAATCAAGCATTTTCAGCAATTCCCTCACGCCGAGATTGGGGTGCATCGGAGAATTTTGCAGTATCCACGCAACGCAAAGCCCGGTTGCAAACAGTTGTCTCTTACCTAGCAATTGTTCAAGCCGCGAAGCGTCGATGCAACCTGCTTCGTCATCGTCGTCGATAGAGGATTCCTCGTCGTGTTCTTTGTACAAAGCGAGCGCATACCCTCCATCGAGCAAGGATACAACCACGTCTGAGTCGAAGCGCTTCGAAAATGCGTCCGCTGGCCGACGTAGCTTTGGGGTGCCCTTCTTTTCCCACTGTAGGCGATGAACAACCCCCCGGCCCGCATACTCGACATGACCATACGAAAATTGTCGACTAATCGATTGTGCCTTTGCTGTTGCATCAAAAACAACATATTTATCTAGTAAAACGACGTTGTTTGGTACATCCAACCAATCACCAACACCACCCACAACTACCACGGAGGAAATACCATGGGCGTTATACAGCCCATTTACACGATAAAGGAGAGGGGTTATTGACTCGTCCATCACAAGGGCTCTCATTCTACCATCTCTTGCCATGAAGTTAGCTGCACTAAAAGCGATATATCAATACATAAGAAAACGGAAGCATGTTTTCAAACGTCAGAAATCAAACCATGAGGACGACCAAACACTGTCTGATTTTTTGAGCGATTTAGTTGTCTGATAAACACACCTTATATCCTCGTCGACCAGTAGTGCCTTTGCGCCAAATTCAATAGCTTCTGCTACGTTTGCTGCCTGTGAAGTTGATCCTGAAGAGTCACGAGTTGAGAAATGTTCCGTGTCTATAGTCGCTTTCACCCCAGGTGGTGTTGGGAGGTTGGAGATGAAAGCGCTTATATTGCTATTTATTGTCAAACGTGACTGACTTTGTTAGATAACACCCGCTTACATGAGTCGAATATTACACACGATAAAATTTGAACGTACCAATTATTGACGTATCGTCCATCCTCGGCTCTAATAGAGACAGCATCCGAAATACTAACACACATCTCCCGTCCATCACCGGGAATCTTATCGAAATGTCCCACAGATATAGCTTGAAGCAGAGTAGATTTCCCTGAATATGATACGAATATGAGTGATGAGTTTGCCCGTACTTGCAAAACAAGTTTTATGGAGTCTAATTTTATAAAATACTTACCATGATACCCTCCACCACAAATCAAAGTCACACCTTTCGTGACAAGAAGACCCGACAGTACAACTGTGGACATGCTTTCATTCCCACGTTGCATTAAGGAAGAAGGGAGGTGTTCTCTCAGGGAACCCATATTAATTGAGATAGATGTTGTCATTCGGCTATCAGCAGGAGCCTTGAACGGTACAGCAGGAGGGCTTTCCATTGGAGCGGCGCTTGTACCACTTTTTCGAGGCAGAATAGAACCGTCGCAGATGAATGCTATGGCGTCTATAGATGACAAATGACATCTCAGTCTTTGTTGGAGAACAACGCACGCGACGTGCTGTAACAAGCTCTGACCAAATGCAGGATCATCTATGGGAAACACCCTATGAAATATTGACTGAGCCGACTTTAAAACAATAGCTTTGGCGTGTTCTTCTGAAAGTTCGTCGTTCGTTTTTTGACTAAATTTTAATCGTGTGGTGACCTGTAACTTGTCATCGCGGCAAAAGAAATCCGAGCGCTCGACAACATATGGATGGTAAACCCTAGACCTTGTATTTTTTCGTTGTCGTCTGTTGAGAAGAGCCTCGTCAAGTGTTTCCATATGGAATGAGACGTGTTCGTTCGGACCGCATTCAACATCGACGTTTTCATTCACGATAATGGTTGCTGCTGTACCGTTTTTCTGCTTACAACGAAGAAAACAGCGCGACGCAAAGTCGGCCAACGCAACACGAGATCCGTTGCCCCCTTCGTGAAAGGAAGGAAGGAACGATGGTTTGTTCCCTAGACACGAAGCTATTGACGCGTGCGCAGAGACAACAAATGACAACGCTGCATCTCTTGATTCCTTTTCTCTCCTACCATCGCGCAGGATGGAAGGGTCTCGGTATACCGAGTCGATTTCCCACATAACTCTTCAAAAAGGGAAACTTAATTTCTATTATATGATGAAAGGCACCAATCGTGCAATGAAAAAGGATGGCACCAATTGGCAATCCTTCTGATATTTGATGCAGATAGTTGGAGGCGTTGGAGATGATGGTCAGATCCCGCTTTCACCAGTGTTTTTATAGGAGCGAGGTCGCAATGTTCCGATGCAAACTAAATCTATTACTGTAGTTCCAACTGATGAAAGTGACACGTATGGTGTATGTTGAATGGAGAAAAGTGAGCGTTATCGAGATAGCAGCTGCTACGACACGGATGAAGGAGCTGTCGTCTCCGATTTTGTGTCGTTGCCTTCCAAATCGATGTGAATTGGTGGTTATTTTTTTCTCTGAAAATGATGAAGAAAAAGTGCAGTTCACTGTTCACTCACTGATGTTGTACGTACCGGTATCATAGGTACAGTAATAAGAATAATATTACTGGTAGGGTTGTGACTTGTATGTGACTGCAGACTGCAGATAGACTGCAGACCACTGGTACGTACGAGTACGTACGTACCGGTAACGGTACAGCTAACGAGTAAGTATGAGGACTATGAATCCCGATTACCTAGTGAATAAAGTTCATCTTGCAAGATAACTTCTCGACTGATGGGTCTATTGTCTGTTCGCCGGATAAGCAACCGTATGAGCACTGAGCACGTACGAGTTACAGTGCCGTACGAGCGTACTCGTACGTAGGGGTAATGGTACCGTTCAAATATTGGACAACAATCTGTACACAACCGCCAACTGTGCTGACAATCCTCGTTCAAGAAGACTGTCTTTTGTCTGAATCATAGCATGGATGTATCGAAGAATGAAACCTCACACGGGGAGGATGAGTTCTTTGGTTCCCAGGATGACTTCGAACGCGGTAGTTCTCTACGGATCGGTGAATTTGGCAACATGAATGAGCATGAGATTGATGCAAAGCGCAACGAACTAAAACATGTCGGATTTCTTGATGCTTACGACGAGTTCAAGGAGTCAAGGATGCAAGAAGGCTTTGAGCGTGGGTTTCTAGATTCGTTTGCGGCGGGGAAAATCATCGGGAAAATTATTGGCGAAGCCACAACTTTGGAGAAGATTTACGAGCAGCAATCGGAAGACCAATCAGCCAATTCACATTGCGCTTCTTGTAAACCGGTGAGATCAGGGAAGGTAGAATTGATTCGAGATTATTTCACAAACAAATTTCAAAAGGATCTGGATTCGAATAACGGGAAACAGGGCTTACGGAATCTTATATCAAAAACTGAGGAGTATCCTACAACTGGTGACTTCACGTGACCTCGGAGACGTCTCCTGAGGTGGAAATTCCTACACCATTGTGGCCATTTCTATGGCTGGTTGAAATGAATGAATTTGGAAACTTCCAAAATGAATCCAACTTGACTTGATGACCACCATTTTCATCGGAATTGCTCTCTAAAGTGCAAATCTTTCAAGTTGTAGTATCGATTTAGTCGTACAGCGAACATTCCCTGGGCTGACAATTGTCAACCAACATCTATTTCTGTGAAACGCTATGACTCTTCGATTTACCTAGAAATCTGTCTTTGATTAGACCATTCTCTGGTACGACTACCCCCGAGAAAATACTGTCTTCGCGTTTGCCCTTCATTGGATGCACATTGAGGTGCAAAAAATCTTCCTAGCTGGTTTGTTTTCTGGGCTCTATTGCCATCTCAATCTATGCAGGAGCTGAAATGGTCCTCACTCTTCTTTTAAAGCCAAAATCTAGTATTATGTTTAACCTCCTTGTCAACGAGAAGAGGTGCTATGATAGCCAGAACCATTGCTCTGAGAAGCAATTCTCCTACTATTTTTTCAAAGGGGTGGCAGCCATGAAAGAGCAAGACCAGTTCTAGTAGTAGTAGTAGTACCAGTACTAGTACTAAGCTCAAAGACCACCACCCAACAGAGTCTTGTCTGAGAATATAAAAGTTTTTGTATCACAGTTTTACTGGGGAACAGTCATGCCAGTTATAAAAAGGAAAAAAGCCAAAAATTAGAAAAGGAACTCTTCTTGTAAAATCAAGCAACTGTTGGTTGTGTGGCTGCACCTTGATGGTGGTGGTGTCCAATAGTAGTACTACTAGGATACTAGGATATTAACAGTAGGTAGTATTACTGCAAAGGAGTAGGTCATTTGTAATATCAGAGCTGTTTCTGATCCACCATTTTCTTGGAGAGCGTATCTTGAACAGGAAGCTTATCTTAGGTACTGCTTAGACAGTCAGCAGTCTGCTGCTTGCTGGCAGGCAGTGCAAGGAGTAAGATACTAGGGACTTCTTGAGTCTTGAAAACTACTAGAGGGGAAGGGCACGACATCTATTTACCATTCTTGAGCCTCTGGTGGGACAAGATAGTAACACACCATGTTGGTACAAGAAGGAGGGAGAGAGGTACAAGCAAAATACTTGGGGGACTGGATCGTGGTTCTTCAACAGTTGCTGGAGGGGGCTTTTTCTATATGGTTACAACCCAGCAATAGGTGCCATGGTTTGTGGTTTGAATCCATGCTTGGTTGTTGTTTTGGAATCATTCCTCTGGTGAGTGAAGCACCACCCCTCTGAGCAGTTTGTAATTGTGAAGAATGTCAATTAGATTTGTGCATGTAATATTGGCACTGGTGTCTATTTGTGCTCTGACTGTTGAATGTGCGTGGTGAAGATATTTGGTGGTAGTGATATGTTTGTGATGTCTTGCAGTGAATTTTCATTGATGACTTTTTTCTCAGATTTGGTGAAAGGTTCGTAGGGGTATCTGGACCATTTTCAATTTTTGGTGTAAAAGCACCATGTGGATATTTTGGTGTTCTTATTGTATTTGATGGCAGATGATGAGAGGTATCATGTGTGATGTCACTGGATGGGATAAATTACATATGCATTATATGGGAAGTGTTAAGCATAGTATGGAGGACAGGGGCTGGTGTTGACAGAGAAGAGGAAGGGCTTGGAGGTTCCGGTTTTATTGTCTGCCCTATACAAAATCCGTTTTATTTTCTCCGTTGTTTGGTGAACCATTGGTTGGGAAGGTTTTGTCAACAATCATCTGTATTTTTTATGTTGGTGCTTCTGGTGTACGAACAAGGTTGACTGTTGCATTTGCCTTTACAATTGTGTTTTGAACACGTTTACATATTTGGCAGAAGTTGATGAAATTTTGGCAGAGAAGATTGGATTGTTGTAGAATTGGACAATTTTTGAAAGTATGTAGGGAGGTTTGGCCTGTCATAATGCAACAAATAAGGCATGGACGGTTGAATGAAGCCAGGTTTGCTTTGATTCAATTGATGGACATTGAGTAGGCAAAACTTAGGTGTGTTTTGTCAATTTCAGCAATTTGAATCTGATTTACCAAGATAGGTTTTGGGATGTTATCAGTGCGTTTTTATGTTGGTATATATGAATTGTATTTTTGAGGTGGGGTTTGTGTCACTGGTTGTACTTGCGTCGGGCTATTAGGAGAAGACAAATATTGTTGAAGAGTTGCAACAAAGTTGGATGGTTCAAAGCTGTGTTTTAGATGATCAAAATCTTGCTCTCTCTATGTATTTCTGTTTTGAGAAAAGACAAGTGTGTACATCCATTCATAAAGTGTTTGTGTTCATTTCTGTCATATGCAGTTTGTTTATTGCCTTCAATTAATGCGCAAAGCATGATGTAGTGGTTGTATTTCTTCCAGTATTCTTCCATGAGGGAGAGAGCTCCTTCAGTAGGGCAAGTTGTAACTAACATAGATGGAGATTCAATCAGGAGTGGGTGAGTGTCACAGATGATTGCCTTTAAAGCTTTGTATCCATGGCCATTGTGGAGTTCAATGATATGGTGGTATTTATCTTTGGAGGTAAAGGCCGTATGGATGACATCCCAGATGACTCATGATTCAGTTGATATTTTTGTCTCAAAGGTTGGGTGAAGGTCATCTTCTTGGTCCATACCTAAGGTGAATCCAATCCACATGGGTGGTTACATTTAGGATGGAAGCATGGGTACGGGTGACAATATTTTCCAAATTGTGAACAATGAGCTGTGAAGCACGTGTACCAATTGTAAAGTTCATATGCTATGTTGCCTGTGCTTTTGTTTGCTGTTGTGCAGAAGTTCTTTTCGCTTTGCAGTCTGAGGTCAACAAGGACAAAGTATTAGCCATCCTGAGTGACTAATGCAGTTGCCAGGTTTTGTGGGTCTTTGTGGTATTGACGGAGTGCATCTGGGTTGGAAGATGTGTTGAGGATGTCTGACAAAGTACTGGAAGTATGGTATTTCTACTGGGTCATGTTGAGCTTGTAGCAATCTTGAACCTGGTTTGGGTAGCTCAATGGGACAAACAGAGTGATGATTAGGCTGTAGGTCTTGGTCTTTGGAGCAAGATACTGAATCATTGTGGCTTGTTGTTGCATCATGTTTCTACTATTCTTAGTAAAGAGACACACAATGTTGGGATCAACAGCAGGTGGTTTGGTTGTATTGTTATTACAGGTTTGATTTGTGGGGTTGACCGGAGGGGGGAAAGGGGTGTCTGGCAAAATGTCAAAGTTGTATATATATTTTGAAAGCAGTCTTTTGTCAATGAAAATGGGAGACCAGTTAATGTGAAGAACAAGGATATTTTTGTTGTTAAATTTGGGGACAAAGTCAAGAGCATGGATGAAAAGGTGGATGTCACTTCCAAGTTTGAGAAGGGTGTCCTTTGCAACAGTTACCATAAGCAAGGTTTTGTGGTCAATGATATTGTCAATATGGGTAATGTCATTGGTGTTGACTGCATTTTGCTTCATGTTATCAATAATCTTGGTTTTGATGTACAAAATGGTCATGTGCTGATCATCAAAAGCATCTCTGGCTGGGTTAAGGAGATTATCAAAGTTTAGAGACAAGCAGTAAGCTTTGTCCATTTCAGCAGTCAGGTTGGGATGAACTTGATGATCAAGGAAAATAACATAAGAGACCTTTGGATGGAAAGGACGGGCATTGGCACCAGAAGGTGATTTAGATCCACTTCTTGTTGGCATGGTGAAAGGTAATCTTGTAGTCTTGAAGATCTGGATGAGAAAGACAATTTGGAATAAAAGATGTTTTGGTTTGAATCAAAATATGTTTTATGGGATGATTGTTGTGAAGCAATAATTTGTTGTTTGTGTGTAAATGTATCAGCTTTCATGAGAAGCTTTAAGAATTGTTGTCAAAGCAGGGGTTTTAAGGCAATATGTGTTGGTCTCATAAAGTGAGATGGTCGCATCTTGAGTGTGGGAATAAAAATCAATGCACAATTGAGCAAGTGTGGGATTTAATTTTTATTGTGCGCGAGGGAGTCAAAAATTATGATGGGAGTGATAATGCTGAATATGTTGTTTCAAAATGCAAGAATGTGTTTCTTGAGTCAAGATTTTCATTTTGAAACAATGGTCTGGGGATAGTTGGTGCTGAGTGAACCAAGTCTCTAAGAGCAAGAATGTCTCTCATGATGAATGACAGGATTTTCTCCATTCTTTTCATGTATTCCTTCCCTTCTGTTTCAAAAACGTTGGAATCCACCAAGCCTTGATTGGACCTTCTGTCAGGTTCAGACAAAGGAGGCAACTGTACATAACAGAAGTACCAGTGGAAAATGTGCCTTATGAATGTCAAGTACTTGATAATGGTTTTGGCCATTACAAATGTAGAAGTGGCAGAAGAGTTACCAGCCTTGACACTGTCTGATGGTGTGGTCTTCAGGAATAGATTCTAATTTGATAACAAGGTGTTGAAATTGTTCCATCTTCTATTGAAGTTGTAACATGCCAAACACTATTTAAGCTGAGACGCTGAAATGAGTCCTGTTGCTGGAGGTTTTGTTGCAAAGAAACATATTGACTGATGGGTAAATGGTCCTCTGAATATTGTCAGCCTCTTTGCCAGATGCTTGTTTGACAGATAGACAAGTTATGACTATGTTACTGGCAATATAAATACAAGCTGTGAGTTCCGTGAAAGGTGTTCTGACCTGTCTGCTTACAGTTTTTCCAAAATTCTTGTCATAGTACTAGTCTTTGTTCCCCAAAGCACCCTCCACAGCTTTCTCAAGAATCTTCTGCTTCTCTTTCCAGTGAACACTGTGTTTCAACAGCACTGCCTGTAGTCTAGGGTTGGTTGTACATATCACCGGTCAAGGGACCAGTTGAGGGTTAGTCATGGTAGAAGTGAACTTGTAATTGACACTGGTGCAGACTGCAAGGAGACAATTTATGATCCAAAAACTTAAAGAAGCAATTTTACCTGTTTATTGGGTGAGAATATAAAGCAAGACTTGGTGCTTGTGGTTGACAAAAGTAACAGCAACATTGCAATCACTGCTTGCAGACACAATGCACAAACATTGCCAAGGAAAAATTACAAGGGTAAACAAAACCAAAGAAAGTATAGGCACTACTATGTCTGACATGAGTGAGCTTGTTTTTGTGTCTCACAACCATCACTATCTGCTTGTTAGGTACAGATGGCAAAAGAAACAAAGTAGTACTGGAATCATCCAGCAGCAATTGCTTCATAGCAGGAGGAGATGGGGGAAAGAAATACGTGCCAATAAGTACATACAAGCGAGAAAATAGTCCAGAATTCAAGTACTTTGTGACAAGAAATTTAGGGGTGAACAATTTTGGGAGTGGAAAGAAAACCAGAAAACAACTCACCAACAGCAGGATTTGTAACAAAGAGGGCTGGTGCTACAATGGACATATACTGTTTGGAAAGTTAGGCAAAGAAGTAAAGAAGTAAAGAGTGGAAGATACTTTGGCAGAGATTGAACAAGCACTAAGGGCAGTGTACAGAAGAGAAAACAGAGAGGACAAGGAGGATAGAATTAATAGAAAAAGAACGCCGTCCAAAATGGAAAGAAATCAATCAGAAAAAATATTGGGAGGACAACGAGATCTTAAATGAACTGAGGTCAAAGATACAACCAGTATGAATACCAAACTAAAGTACTATAGTAAAAATAATGACATGTTAGGGATACAAAAAAGAGTGACAACAATGATACCAAAATACATGCAACAAGATTTTCTTTTCCAATTAGATAGAATTGCTGAACTGTGAATTTTTTTTGCACTAGCAGTAGAAGAGTTGTCAATATGCGGCACAGAATTGGCAAGAGGGGAGAGGAATGTGAAACCAACTAGAGGAATAAAGGTACTCAAAATAGGAGTTTTGTGACGACATGAGGCAGATACTTGTCAAATAATTGAGAATTTGTCATCAAATAGTAGAGAAAAAAACTGCTTTGAATCAAAATTGGAAACAACCATGAGAACGGGCATCAAACTCCTCATGAGAAATGAGTGGTTCAAGAACATGTTCCACAGATAAGTGCCAGACATTTTTTTATGAGCAGTGCAAAATATGTGGGAAAATTAAATTTTATGGAAGCGGGAAAACCAAAACACCATAATATCAGTTTGTGTGACAAAAATATCATAAAACTTCCACCTTACTGGCACTAACTTAGTGTTTGCACTGTACTGTAGAAACTTATTTTGTTAGATTGGAAGTCAAATAGAATTTAAAAAGTGCAAAAATAGTCTTTATCTGACTGGAATCATCCTTCTGGAGCTTGGGAGTTTGGGGGGGGGGGGAGAAGAAAAACACCAGAAAAGCATGATGGTATCAATATCTTTTCAATGTAGAGCATGATATACTACTACTAGTAGTAGTAGGTTGAACACTTTTTTTTCTGAAGAAAGGCATGTGATGAGTTTCCTGATATACTATTCAAAATTTGACTTCCACTTGCAGTGCACCGCAAAAGACTAATTCTGCAAGTTGCTACAAAATGCTACGGATACATGATGAGGATTTCGGGGATTTTTGAAAAGGGGTCATCATTTTTAGTACAGAAATATCCCAATGACGTGGGAAAGCGCAAACCACCCAAACCTATTTTCATTTTGAGATTTATCTCTGGTCTCATGTGGAAATAAGTACTGTAGGAGGATATGAGCGGAAGGTCCCTCAACACCAAACGAACGCAAATACTCGTACACTATCCTCTCCACATCAGTTGCGACTGTGTCCTACACACGAACAATTACAACTACCACGGAGAGCACTGTGAACCGACTTCACCTTTTGGAAGACACGCCTTGATCCATAACTATGTCAAAGAGATACAACGAGAAAAGAGCGGCCCTGGCCCAGAAGGCTGTAGACAGAGAGCTTGACCAGGGATACGGGAGAGAGGATTTCGAGAGCAATGTTGCGAAAGATGTTCGCGGGGCTGCGATGGGAGAAGGTGAAGAGGAGTTGTTCGAGAAAAAAATGAGTAAAGCCGAAAAGAAAGCTGCTGCCAAGGCCGCCCGAGAGGCCAAGCGGAAAGCAAAGGGTTTAACAAAGAAAAAGAAGGGTGGCGACGATGACAAAGAAAAGGCCGCCGCCGAGGAAGAAAAAAAGAATGCAGCGAAAATTCTTGACCCCAATGCTTCCGCGGAAGAAAAACGAGAAGCTGCGCTTGAAAATCTTTCACGGGAAGAAATTATCGTGACCTATGAAAGTAGGAAAGGAAAGATGCACGCCAATGCTCGCAACATCAATGTCAGTGGTGTGACGGTCACGTTCCATGGAAAACCACTGATTGAAGAAACCGATCTTGTGATTAATTATGGTAATAGGTATGGCTTTATCGGGCCGAACGGAAGCGGTAAAAGTACTGTGATGAAGGCAATTGCGGCACGCGCCATTCCTATCCCTGAAAACTTGGATATTTATTTCCTTAATTCTGAGTATCCTGCACGAGATGACATCACCGCTCTCGAGGCTGTCATGGAAAGCAATGACGAGGTTCAAGAGCTAGAAGCGAAAGCTGAACATCTCAATGATGCCATGGCCGAAGCAGATGAAGATGAGCAGGCCGAAATTCAACAAACACTTGAAGGCATCTACAGTCGTTTGGATCAGCTTGATGCAAGTTCTGCAGAAGCACGAGCCACACAAATTTTGTTTGGTCTTGGATTCACCCAAAAAATGCAACACATGAAAACAAAAGAATTCAGTGGAGGGTGGCGAATGCGTGTTGCCCTAGCACGTGCACTCTTCATTGAGCCAGAATTCTTGCTTCTCGACGAACGTAAGTACTTTTTTTCGATAACACAGCCATTGTTTCGAATGATAGGATGATCAGAGCTCTAACTTCTTCATTTTACCTGCGAATCAACAGCTACAAATCACTTGGACATGGAGGCTGTTCTGTGGCTTGAAGAGTATTTGAGTAACTGGAATCGCATTTTATTTTTTGTGTGCCATTCACAAGATTTCATGAATTCAGTTTGTACACATATTGTCCGTCTTGACGCAACCTACAAAAAACTCCGTTACTTTAGTGGAAATTACGACATGTATGTTCAAACTCGCCGTGATCGAGACATGGTGCAAATGCGACAATACGAAGCCGAACAGCGAGATATTGCTGAAATCAAAGATTTCATTGCTCGTTTCGGTCACGGTACTGTTAAAATGGTCCGCCAGGCACAAGCACGCGAGAAACTACTCGAAAAAAAGCTCGAAGCTGGTTTGACACAACTACCTGAGCAGGATCCTGACTGGGGTAAGTCGTTAGAAATTCTCATTAAAATAGCTAGTTGAGGAACTGAGAGCGTTGATACAGAATCATGCTGTTGCGAACAGACCTTTCGTCCATGTCTCATTTTTGACTTGTCTTATTTCCAACTCTGTAAAAGATTGGTCGTTCCCAGACGCAGGAGAACTCCCAGTGCCAGTGCTGTCTGTTGAGAACCTTAGTTTTGCATACCCTGGTGGTGTCGAACTATATAGCAACGTTGACTTTGGAGTTGATCTTCAAACCAGAGTCGCTCTGGTCGGTCCGAATGGAGCAGGTGAGATTACGTTTGTAAAATGAATTCTTCGTATTGTGTATCGAGTTCAAATAAATTTCTTACAAATTGCGATCGACGATTCAAGGTAAAACAACTTTGATCAAACTTATGACGGGTCAGTTAAATCCTACCAAGGGAGCTGTGAAACGAAATACCCATCTTCGAATTTCGCGTTTCACCCAGCATTTTGAAGAAAAGCTTGATTTGACCATGACGCCACTTGATTTTTTCAAACAAAAAGTCATGCCAGAGCAGCCGATTGAAAAGATTCGCCCTTTGCTCGGGAGGTACGGATGTACAGGGGATCAGCAATCACAAATCATGGACCAACTTTCGGCCGGTCAGAAGGCACGAATTGTCTTCGCCATCATTGCCCATGAAAGGCCTCATCTTCTGATGCTTGACGAACCGACGAATCCTCTCGATATGGAATCCATCGATGCCCTAGCACGTTGTATTAATAAATTTAAGGGTGGGGTTCTTATGGTTAGTCACGACATGAGATTGATTTCCCAATGTGCCGAACAGATCTATGTGTGTGACCACAAGAAGGTCACGTTGTACAAGGGCGATATCATGAAGTTTAAGCTTCATCAAAAGAAAGAGAACTCAAAGAATCTTGCCCAGCACATGAATGGATAAGACTAAATATTGGTATTAAAAGATCCCTTGAAATGTCATTCTGCTCAATTAACTCGCATTTTGGTCTATTCATCCAATTAGCCACCTACATTTGGTTGTTCCACATGTACTGAAAATTGTCATCTCTGAAAAATTCGTTGACTATCATTTCATCTGTTTTTTTTAAGCAGTAATCATCGGCCGGCTCGGTGTGCCTTTTTCTTTTTCTTCTTTTTGTTCGAAATTGATGATTTTCCTTTACTCTTGCCATTAGTTTTTTCAACTGATGTCGAGTTCATCAATGAATCAAAACTTATTTCATTTTGTGGCTTTCTGTCACGTTCATCCGTTTGCACAAGAGAGGAATGGTCTATCCGGTCACCAAAGCATTTTTGAATCGTATCATCTTGTGACATATCCCATATCGCCATTTCTTTCGAACCTCCTGCACAACCCATAAGCCATGGTAAAGAGGGATAAAATTTCAAAGTGAATAGCTTCCCAACTTTCATATCTTTGTTCATTTTCGCTGTTGGAGATTGAGTAGCAGTATCCCAAATTGTTACAGTTTTATCGACAGAAGAAGTTGCCATCATACCAGGAACATGGCTGACATTTTCGAAAAGAAGGAGTGAGGTAAGATGTAAAGTCAGAAACACAACCATGTTGCTTTCATATTTTTGAAAACTCACGTATTGTATGCCAGATCACTGACTCCTCCGAATTCGCTTGCCACAATGGACCAGAGGGGAGTTTTGGTTGAGAATTTGCGAACGTCCCAACACGTAACAGTTCCATCCTCACTAGCAGCAGATAAGTATTGAGGGTTGAAAGGGTCCCATGCCAAAGATTCGCAGTCTCCTGGTATTTTTACTGTTTTCACATTCTCTGTACTCCTAGCATCAACCAGACCCACAGTTCGATCATACGATCCAGTGGCGAGGAGTGTCCCCTCCTTCGGATGCCACAAGACGGATTGTACCTTGTCTTCGTGATGTTTTAGAGTTGCAGCGTTGGCTTTATCAGACTGAGCCTGTGTAACATCCCATAATTTCACCGTGCAATCTGCAGATCCACTAGCAATTACTTGTCGGTGAACTTTATTCCATGATAATGCCATTACAGCATCAGTATGACTTCCAGGTTTTAGGGATCTACCTTGTGGTGAAAGTGTATTGCTGTGTTTCTTCTCAGAGGCACCCATCATGTTAAGTCTCATAATGTCGTCGGCCATGGATGTATCCTCGCCTCCAAGGACACACGAAGGCTCAAGGGCATTCATTACATCCAGGTTCCAGATCTCGATTCCTGGCCCGAAAGTTCCTACAGCACAAAAATTTCCAGCCGAACCAGTGGGACCGATGTCACCATGACTCAGGCATAAAGGAAATGCAGGGAGAGGAATGTCGTGGTGTACGAATAGATTTCCTGTTAATTGCTCATATACATGAACTTCCAAAGCTGCAAACTCCTATACATAAAATGAAGGAAGTATCTTAGCATCTCTTCGTAACCTTAAATTGATACGTATTGATGCGATCCATGAAAGGACACAACAAACTCACCTCTTCGGTTTTCGCCACGACAATAACAGCATCAGAACCACGAATCTGGATATCTTCTGCATCACTATCATCGTCATCTTCAAAATCTTCCATATACGTTGGAGCATTTGTGCCTACTTGAGAAAACCCAATCGAATTTAATCCGTCCAAGTCAACGGGCATAAACTCCCTGGTATCTGGAACGTCGTCCAGGTCATCATCCTCACTATCACCATCTGATTCATCATCTGATACACCATCTGATTCGCGCGATACATTTTTCGGTTCCGGTTCTTCTATTTCGTCGTTTTCGACCAATAATCGTCCGATAGCAGCTCCTCTCGTCGCCTCGTCCTCTCCCTCATCGCTGGAATATTCGTCCATTCGGAGATCGGCCGGGAGGGTGTTTTCTTCCATTATCTTGGATTTCTCCTTCTCCGTTCGTATTTCCTGGTGAGCTTTGATCTCCTTTGTGTCCTCCACATTGTGCTTCTCCATCATGTGAATGAGTTCGAGTTCTGCTTGACTGAATTCGTATTTCTTTGGCGATGGGTCTGCGACCCCTGCAGGAACCCACTCAAGCGAAGAAATCATATTATTTGATATTTGATAGTTGATGTGTAGACGTTGACAACTGATATATTTTCAATGAAACTTGGAATTTAGTTTGTACTTCGTTGACTTCAAAGGCTTTCGTTGTGAGAGGTTGATTACCCACAAGAAGACGACCGTAACTGCATTTCTCGATGTTCACAGCTGATGGTATGATTGGTCGTAGTAGTGCTTTGGATTGACGGGTGACGGCCAGATTTTCCGTTCGTGATACTGTACGGTAATTGTAAAACTAAAATTGGCTCCCTAACGCAAATACTTTGTGTGCAAAAACTAAGTTATTGCTAGTAAGGTTGAAGTTATGCTCTGAAAAGAATGTAGTAGAAGTCTCTAAAAATGAAAATTCTGTTTTTGGTCAAGGAGAAGAAGAGATCTATCCCTGACATACGAAGGAAGTGTCTTCCGAGTATCATGGTAGCTGCAGGAAGCTGAGAAAAGCCTTGCATTGATTCCTGTAATGCACTTGACGATTTTAAATTCTGGCAATTGTATGTGTGAGATGAACGCATACTTGGAAGTGTCAAAGATGCCTTGGGCTGTTGTAGTAACAGGGCAATTAGTATCCATGGAAGGCACTGTTCCTGGGGGAAGGCAACCCTTGTGAATCAAACACATAGTGCTGCCACCACTACTATCCAGGAGGACACGGTAGGTTTGCATCACAGGAATCCCGTGGATCGCCTTGGATACCAATATCACCACTGGAAGAAGGTCTGGATTCAATGCTCTCAACGTTTTTGACATTGGGTTCTTGAGAGCGTCTTCATTGAGGCCAAACAATTCTAAAGAACTTGCTTCCAGTGATTGAGTAGTTGGAGCTGGAGGCAGTGCAAGGAATGCCTCATTGTGTTCCTGCACTGGCTCCTGCAAATGTTACCACTGCTGCTGTTGGTGGTTGGGACCTAATGTCACCACTGCTGCTGTTGGTGGAAGTGAACTGTCGGTGGGGAATTGTTTGTTGGAATGCTGGATTGTACAGAAACATGGCTTGGAGGACCACTGGAAGAGTCACTCTGCACTGGAGTGCGTCACAAAAAGTGTTTGCGACCACTAGCGACCACTCGCGACCTTTTTTTTAAAAATACGCACCCCTTTTTTTTCTCGCGTCCACCAAACCTCCCGTA